AAATCGATGAAATGGTTGTTTGTTTGTATTATTAAAAAACGAAGGTTTTTTACAATCAACAATAATAAAATCAAATAGATTTTGCCAATCATTACCAAATGCATATGTTGTTAATAAATTTGTATAATCAAAACGTGAATTTGTTGCTAAAAATAATTTTTTATTTGATTCTTTTAATTTTTCTAACCATTGTCGAACATCTAAACGTTTATAAATAAATTTATTTGGATTTTTACGTATGGATGCAAAATAATTTCCACGTTGAAAATCATTAAATAAATAATCAAATCCATTATAAAGATTTATTAGAAAAAAACTATATTTTTTTATTAAATTAATTTGATTTTTTGAAGATTTTTCATATAAATTTTCTTTATCAATTAAATCAATAATATTCGCTATTAAATATGATACACTATGTTCAAAATAAGTAAAAATACATATAAAACGTTTACTAGTATCTTCTTCAATATCTTCTAATGTATGTGGATAAATTTCTTTAATTTTTTCAGATGATAAACGTGTATTGACACCATGTAATGCTGTATGAACTAATCCATTTGAATCTAATTGAATTAAATTTCCATATAAACTATCATAAATTAAAGCTTTAACACCAAAATAATTATCATATGGAATATTAAGTAATTCAGAATTGTATTCATGCGTATCAACAAGATATTGACAAAGTGATTCATAAATTAATGTATGAAGTTCAAGTAAACGATAACGTATTAATGTATGATCTAAATCAAAACCTATCCAATCACATGATGACAATGAAAAGGTCTTTTTCATAGTTGAAGTTGAGGTCATTTTATTATTGGTTGTGCACTTCGTATGTTACTACTAGAAAGAATAGAACAAAGAAAAGAAATAATAGTGCAAATCTACGACACGTGGAGAATAGAAAAGTATATTGTTTGAAATCTTTATATAAACGAACGTAAAAGGTGCAAAATGATAATTTCATTCTATTGCGTTGTTGAATATTTAGAATTTCATAGAAAAATTCTCTATAATGCTTAAATATGTTATCATCTAATTCATGTTAAGAAAAACAGTGGATGTAAATCCATCAGGATTTCGAAGTCATAGACTATGATGATAACTATAATTAATTGTGAGAACGATTATCGATGTTTTGTGATACCTGATTTTTCATTATATACTTTTAATACAAAAGAGAAAAACTGTTACAAACCATTGAAAAGACATTCTATGCATAAAACAAAACCTATAATGTAATAAACAGAGCTAAAGAAGTGTGAGAATAATAAACCATTATTTTTCTCTTCAGAACCAGTACATCGATAATATTATTTCATTTGAATGAATCCGAAAGAGAACGATATTTTATATTTTTACATGTGATATCTTTTGTATTCAATTAATTATCTTTATTCAAATAGATGGAAATCCAAAACAAATTCTGAGTAAAGCATTCAAAGAAAAAGAATTATAATATAAAGATCATTTTTATATCTTTGTCCTAGACGTTGTCTTACTAATATATTCCTTTAATTAATTAAGGTCTGATTAATATTCTTGACAAAATATTTGTTGAAAATATATTGAAATATTATTAAAATTTTAGTTCTCTCTTGATATTATTATTAAAAAGTCCTTCATAAATGTTTGATATTATATTGAAATCAAAAGCTTATTTTTTCTATTTAACACTTTGTTATCATTATTTGAGTTGCAAATCTTCTGGTATTCTGTCAAGCACTATACAGTTACAGAGATAAGTAATTCCTATGCCAAGTTGAAATAGATATATTTTTATCAACTTCAATTAACTTTCTTTTGAACTTAGTAACTTTCGAAGTGAAAATGATAAAGTTTGGCAGTGAAAAACTGATTACAGAAGCTATTACAAAAGGAATTAACTTTTAAAGATAAGATCGCGTAATATATAAATTTTTTATTGTCACAGTAGGAGTTGAATTGAAACTTAGAAAACATAAATAAAGTCGCAGTGGAATTAAAATGTGATTTAGAAAATACACATGAAGCTAAAGTAGCATATACGCAAAAATAGTCTATTCAACTATATAGGTTCATTCTGTTGAAGAGTCAAAGAGGATTTATGACCACTGGTGCTAATACTGTTGAAATATTCTGCAAGTAAATGGTTGTTTTGCGTAGTGACATAAACTATAATATACTTTTTATTAAAAATTCTCTAATGGATTGTAATAGTACGAATGAATCAAATTAAAGTTGAATCTTAAGGCGCATCCAGGTTGTTATAATATCAAAAGAATGAAAAAATACCTCGAACTATTTTAGGATATTACATATTCATCAAATATAAACGCTCATTTCATATGCTATTTTACTTGATAATAGCTTAGGATAATAGTAGTTTTATTGCTTTATTAAGGATGTGAAGACGTGGATTCCTAAGGGGAAACATGATATTTTTCATTAATATACAAATAATGTTTATAAAATCCAGAATATAAAATAGTAAATATTTCAGTTATTAAAATATTACTTTCACAAAAAAATACTGAACTTTGTTAGCACTGGTTATACAGTTTATTGATATAGAAAATGAAGAAGTGTGTGTATTTATATATGGATAGAACAATAGTACTAAGAATGATCATCACGCCGAACGTTGAGAAGTAGTACAAAGAATGACCGTCACACTGGGCGTTGAACAATAGTACAAAGAACGACGACCATGCCACATTTAGAAAAGAAGAGTATTGAAAGATGGCATGATAGTCAAGGGTCGCCTCGATAACAAACTCAACGTAGGGTTGCTGGTTTGTCCAAATGTAACGTTGGTATGTTTTTGACGGATTTTTTTCAATTGTCTAGAAGGGTTTAAGAACTAGAAACTACTTTCAAGCGCCATTCGACACAGCTTATCACATTCTATTTATGTTACAAGGATTAGCTTTTCTATCTCAATTTTCAAGCGATCAGGAAGGTTTTATCTTCTAGTACGCTGTCTCATAAAAACATCCTTTTTCTTCAATGCGGCTGACACAACTTGAGTTTCTTGCAAATTATACAGAATTAAATTCTGCATCGAATAGCATATCATTCAGTATTCTTGAAAAATATTTCTTTGTTACAATTGCACCGATTCCGCGAAAATAGTAGCTAAGATGATAAATTTTCTCTTATTACGAATCTACCTCCTGTGAATTGTTTATCTTAACTATAAACAGTTGTTTTTTGCTCTATTCGAACTTTAGTCGAAATTCATGATATACAAAAGAAAGTTTTTGGAATTTGTCTGATCACTTCTAACTGATTTTGAGATGTGTGTTTTGTATTAGACAAAACCTAAGAATAGCTTGAGACAGAATGTTCAAAACTAATCACAATTGGTATGAACAATTAATAGAAACCTTATAATTTTCAAGCTCAGAAATATTCTAAACTTCAAATAGATATTTAATGAATTGATTCATTTGTGCTTACAACAACACATGCACAGTAATAAGAATTACTGAATTTCTACTGATTCTTTATGATAATACTTCGGTTTTGTCTAATGCAAAACATAGGTCTTATGAACGCCTGGATTCCTAAGTCCATATCAATCTATGCTTTTCTATGCTAAAGTTCAATTGTCATAGACATGATAAGAGGATTCTAAAAACACACTGCTAGGATTTGTCTTTTTGACCTAAGCTGATTGTTGGTAATGAAAGAAAATATTTTAAGTTGTAAAGTCAAAACATGAGCGCATTATACATTCATTTTTATAATTAGTTCTGAAAAATATTTCCGTAATTCTTTAGATATACAACGTTTAGATTTCATGATCTTTACTAGAATTTTATCAAGTTTTCAAGAAATAATTAAAACTACCAATAAATTGATAAAAAGAAGTTCAGTATAATTCTTTGACATGACTAAAGTATTAGTAAATATTCTATTAGAGGTTATTACTAGTTTAATCAATCAGAAAAAAATTAATTAAGCTTTAGAAATTTTAGAAAACGATTAATTCTTATTAGGGTCTCAAAAAATAAGTCCGCGTAGCTTCTCATCAGCGAACAATCGAAGACATTTCGCTTCTGACTCACTGATAAACTTAATGATCAATGATTTAAATGGAATCAATCGGTTTCACGAGCTTTCGTAGTCACTGAATCTAATACTATTGAACTTCTTTTTATGACAATATATGAAAACAAATGTTTTTAAAACGACTATTAAAGACCAGAATTAGTTAAGAAATCAGAGTGATGAAAGACAAGTCGTGGTATAATCTTTTGCCATAAATAGAAAATAAAGCTAAATTTTTGTATTTCGATTCGAGGCAATGGCTGTAATGGATGCTTTTTAAGTTGGCTCATATAAACAAAAACTCGATGTATGAATCTACGATTGAAAACAAGCTGGTCGACAAAGTTGAATCAAATGGTAAAAATACCCGAAAAAACTTTCAGATACTCGCTAAAGTATTTAGAACAGTTCAATGTTTCCAAGTGCTATTGATAATCAGTGTTGAAAGAAGTGGCGTAACCAGACGGAAGCTGAAAATCGGCTCAGTTCCATCAGAAGGTTTTCGCTCCTTCTATAAGTATCACCAGAGGATCTCTGTTCTTTTTGCGGACATGGCCAGAAGGATGCCTCCTCCCTACCAATCTTTGAAGGTTAAGAAAATGAATCATTTACAACGACATAATCAAGATAAACTATTTAGTCAAGTTATTAAATTCGTGTATTGTTCTAAAAGTATTTATTACAGGAGTTATTTATTCTTATACTGTAAATGTTTTCATGAAAATTTTATTTCATGTTTGTTTTATAAATATAAAGAAATGATAGTTTTTTTCGAAAATATATCTTAGTAAAATATTAATATAACAATGAAAAGAAAAGCTCTCTGTTTGCCGGAACAAACATGACTTTTACTCGATTCTGAAAAGTATAAAACGTCACGATATTATTTTTTTCTAGATGAAAAGAAAGAATGAAAGCAAGCAAGTATTCAGTCAAAAAGACATTTTAATAGAATCATAATGAGTTCTTCTATGACTACAAATATTCTTTTTTTTGGTGAAAAATATACACTCTATACGAGTTATCTCATATTCATTATTGGAATTATTGGAAATTTTTTTAATATTCTTGTTTTCACTGGTTTGAAAATCTTTCGAAATAATCAATGTGTTTTGTATTTTATAATCGAATCAATATCAAATATATGTCAATTAATTATGTTTTTTCTTATCCATTTATTAATACATATATATAAAATTGATCCAGCAAATTTAATACTATTTTGGTGTAAATTTCGAGCTATGATGATTGTATTATGTACATTAATATCATTTTCTGCAATATGTTTTTCTGCATGTGATCAATATCTTTCAACAAGTCCTCGATTCAATTTAAGAAAAATGAGTACAATTAAATTAGCTGAAATTCTTATATTTACAGCTATGGGTATTTCATTGCTACATAGCATTCCATTTTGTGTTTATATGAAAATTCAAGATTCTTTCTGTAGTATTTTCAATCCAATGATGTCTCGATATTTATCTTGTTTTTATTATCCAATTCTATCTGGAATTCTACCTATTTTTATTGCATCATTATTTAGTATCTTAGCATATCGTAATGTTCGACGAATAGTTCGACTACAAATGCCAATAATTCATCGACGACTTGATCAACAATTGACAGCAATGGTTCTTGCCCGTATTATTGGATTCATTATTTTAACATTACCTTATGCTGTTCAAAGAATGTATACATATCTTCCAAAGGTTGGTAAATCAGATCTTTTTCGAATTGCAATTGGTAACCTAGTAGGAAGAATTGTAAGTTCATTTTTCGATCTAAATTATGCGGTAAGATTTTATGAATGATATTTTTCTTTGTTATATTATTTAATGCATTTTTGTTTAGGCATCTTTTTATATATTTATGGCATCTTCATTGCGATTTCGTCGTCAGATAAAAAATGTTTTGGTAAAAAAATTTTGGCGACGATGGAAACAATGGCCTTGTAATAAACATCAAATTTATCCAATTGTGTAGATATGATTAGTTAATTCTAGTTTTGAACTAGAATGAAATGATCATGACAATAAATTTTATTATTAAATCCTATGAACTTTGCTTTATTTTTTCATGTTAACCTTTTTTGTTTGTAATATGTACCAAGTAATAAATCTTCAATTCAAAATATAATGTGCAAAAGTCTGAGCTAAGATGCATGCAATTTATAATGTCTGGAAATTTGTGTTTTTCTCTTTTCATGCATGCTCAATTTGAGAGATTAAAGTTATCTAAGACACGTGTCTCTCCAATTTGTAAAAGTACGTTCTTCAAAAAAAAAAACAAAATAACATGATAAAATCTCGAACCCTAGATTTTACTACACAATAAAATGTCAATTTTATATACAAACGTGAGTAAAATAATGAGCGATGTGAAAGTCTTTGGAAAAATGTCAAACTCTGCTAGATTATATTCTCAATTTCTAAACCAATGAAAGTTTCTTTTTTGTGAGAAAAAGTAAATATATGAACTACACACTTTGTATGCGATATATTTTTCTAGAATGAATCTAAGAAGGAGAAAATGTCAAGAATCAAAAATCTCTTAGAAAAGGTTTTTGCAACTTCACCATCGTGCAATATGATTTTCCGATTTTCCTGTTAAATATTTTATATCAGAAGTGAAATGAGAAAACACAGGTTTTTATAACAAAATATAGCTATTTCTGAAAGAGACTATAACTTGATCGCTGTTACTTCCTGACCATTTTTCAGCAATAAAAACTCTGTTTTGACTTGTATTTTCCTGCTAAGCATCTATGATCTTGCGTATTTCAAACAAATAATGCACAAAGAATTCCATTCACGCATGGTTTCTGGATAGTATCATGAATGTTGTGCTAAATTGATCGTTCTTGAAAAACTGTATTTTACAAAACATTTCAATTTCGTAAATTTTTTTGAATAAAGGATCAAGAATGGATCTTAAAATCTTGTATCGAAGCTGACGTTGATTCAGATTTGAATGTGCTACATTTTGATAAATTGATTTAGTTAGTAGAATTGGATTTATATACCTCAAAATCATTGAGAAATAGAAATTTTTAAAGTGGGAAACGCATTGCAAGAACTTTTGTTTTTTAGAAATATTTGCCTGTTGGCTTTTTCTTCCTTCTTAGATTCGTTCTGAAAAAATATGTCTCGTACAAAATTTGTAGTTCAGACATTACTCTATCCAACAAAAAAAAAAAATATTTCATCGGTTTAGAAGTTAGACATATGATGTAATAGAATTTGACATTTTTCCAAAGATTTTTACATTAATTATTGTTGTTTTGTTTTCGTTCTTTGCAATGGTATAAATATCTTTCCCACTTTATGACTCAAAATTGACTCAGAAGGAAGCATATTTTGATATGATTTCTTCTTAGTCAGTCTTGTGTCATGAAGTGAGAAAAAATGCTTATGCAATTGGAAAGAAGAAAAAAAACTTTTACACTCACAGTTACATAAAAAAATTGACATTTTTTTCTGTAGTAAGGAGGAAGATTCGAAATTTTACAATGTTTTGTTTTTGAAGAACTTTCTTTTTACAATTAGAGAGACACTTTTCGTGAATAACTCAATTCTCTTGAACAAATCATGCACAAAAAAATTAACAAGAAAATCTTTCTAGATGTTTGAAATTGTTTACATTTTAATATCTTCTGAATGACAACACTTTTTTTTATTGACAGTCTTCTTTACTGTCAAGTTAAGGTAGCATAATGTTTTCTTTGTATAAAATTTGATTATTTTTAAAGTAATTCAAAGATCAACAAGAGATTGATCCGTTTTTCACATGATTGTATTTCAAGAATTTTCATTAAACTTTTTCGTTTTTCCGGACAAAACGAATGACGAAACAATTCTTTTTCATTTAATACCATTGTTGATTCATTTCATATCTTATTTTCAAATCGTGAACAACATTCATCTAATGCATCCACGACTAGTTATATCATTGGTCCAACACTACCAAAAATCGATTTTCTTAAATATTCGTTTTGACCGTTGAAAGTCTAATGATGATATTCAATTACTCATAATTATTTCTTACAGTATCGTTCTGCCAACAAGACAGATGGCATATGTCATCTTACCCTAGTGGTGGCATCAAGGGTAGAACTGATGCCTCGAAAACTATCTAAATGTCCTTCGGGAGTTTTTAATTATCAGTTCATCATGTTTGCTTACAATTCCTACTTTTTGAATAAGAGTTTTCGAATAAAATTTATTCTAAATTATATCAACACATGATGTAATGATTCTTTTGTTTAACCAAAATTAACAACTTAATGTATAAATTATCAAAAACATTGATTCAAGTCAAACTGATGTAACGATAGAATATCATTGGAATATTCTGTACAAAATAATGCAAGTTATTGTTATCATTCTTGTCACTTTTCTTTGAATAAATTTTGACAATGTTTTTACCATTGCAAGATTTAATAAATGGAAGAAAGGTAGTAGTTCGATTAAAATACGTATTGTCTCAATCACATATAATTGTAATAAAACATTATTTATCATAGAAATAACGAGATTCTGCATGATATGACATTCTAACACGCATAAACTAACAATTAATCCAATTGTTGAGCTTAGTCACAATAAAAAAAAAAATCGATTTTGAAGCTAATCTTCAATCGCTTCGAAAATAGTCAAGTTTTATATCTAACAACATCCCTAAGTCTTGGCTTTACAGCATAGATAATTGCAAATCAATTAATATTGTCATTCAGAAAACATCAATTTCAACATTTTCCATATTATATCTTTAAATCTATAAGAAATATTCTTTTTTTCAATAAAACATGTATTACAATCTATGATAGAGTTTTCAAGTGAAGGAGTACATTTCCAAAAATAACACTGACATAATTTGTTCTTGATAACCTTCTCCGACAATAATAATATCTTTAAATCATGAATCATTCGAACTGGCATTATTTATAGTAACATATAATCCTCTAGAAGTGTTGAAAGATTCAAATACATCAATGAAAGATATCTTAATCATAACAAAAATCATATGTATTTGTTTTCGACATTAACAAATTAATACAAGAACAAAATAATATTGTGAATCCTCCCACGTACTATTTCTTCCATCGTCATATGTTACTCAGCAGAATTAATAAGAAAATGGAAGAAAAAAAAGTGTGACAAAGCATAATGATTAATAGACAAATCAAAAGAAAAATTCTCACTGGGAATATAATTTATGAAGATTTCGCCCACAATAATCTTCAGTAAATGGACATGTTTTTTACTCATACAAAAAAAAAACTCACTCTATTTTAGAATTTTTGTTTTTTTTTTTTGAAGGATATTAATGTAACAAATCGCTCAATCATATCTTAATAAACTTGACATACTTGAGAACAGCAAATATTCATAAAAAAAAAGAAAGAATTTTCAATATTGATCATAAATTCAATAATGCATTGTCTAAGCCTATGAGAAATAAAATTTATTCGTAAGACGACCCTGTCTCATAATAGCATAAACACTCATGTACACATATATACCAAAATTTTCCATGTTTATTCCCAATATAACTGTTAAGTCTAGAGCCATCAAAAGAAGAAAAAGAGGAAGTATAAAACTGAAGAAGAGTACAATCACTAAGTAATAAATCACTTGACTTATCCACTTTCTGATGCAATTTTACATCATCTATTCCTTTTTTTATTCTTATTTATCTAACTACCTAAATCGAATATTTGTTGAGAAGTAAAAGTTTAAAAATATACTATCATTAAAAACTTTTGCTGGATACTGAGTATGAAGAGTTGTATCTGTACACAACATTGCGTATTGTGAATTACTGATTAACTATTGTATTCATCAGAATCGATCAATACAGAATTTAATATCTTAATTATTCATTAGTACTTGTTAAAAAAAAAGAAAATATTTTAATTTATCCAAAGCAAAGTTCAATTATTGTATTGGCACATAATAGAAATCTTTTTATTCTTATCATAATACAAAAACAAAATGAGCAATCACTAGAGACTTTGATGTAATCGATTTCTTGTTTTTAAATAAAGTTAAAATAACTATTTGACTTTTTCGATATTGAGAAATACTTTGTTACTTGTGTTTTTGATTTTAACAAACTCTGGTAAAAAAAAAAAATATTGATATTTGGTTTGTGTAATCAAATTTGTATTGATTATTTTTGACATGATTCATAAAGATTTATTGTAATTGAGTAAATATTTTTCCTAGTCCTGGTTTATTAAATAAATAATACTGAAAAAAAAAAAAATTCAATCAATGAATAACATCGAGTCATGATGCAAGGTACACTATTAAAGTACATTTAGTATTGTTTATGACTCAAGAATAACCTAACATGCATAGAAATTAATAATCATAAAATCAAGTGATTATTAATAATTTAAAAATAATGTAATTTGCATATAATAACACGTTTACTTTACATTTTTGAAAATAACAATTTATTTTTGATTCTCTTTCTGTTCAATATAATACAAGATTTAGACACCAATGCATGTATTTGACGACTTAGAATAGTGAAAAGAAAACAATTTCATTACTATTCCATTAAAAAAAAAGATATAACGTCGTATCTGACACACACACACACGTACATACATCGGATAGATTGAAACAAATAATAACAAAAGAAAAAAAAGAAATAAACGAAAGAATTTCACTGCATAGCTGATGTGATCATTTGTTCGTAACTTGTTAATTGAGTAAGAAAACCTAGATTTGGACTGATTATTTGTCTTTTATTTTTAACAAATGAATATGCTTGTTCAAATGTTTTCAAATGATATTTCATTATATATCCAATAATAAATGATGGACTACGACTAATACCACCTTGACAATGAACAAGAATATTTTGATTTAATAATAATTTTTCTTCTATATATTTAAATGTTTTATCAAAATATTGAATAATATCTTCTTGACATGAATCATTACAAGGTAATTGAAGATAATCAAATAATG